AAAAAAAAAAAAAAAAAGAGGTAGATGAATTTGAAGTGTCCTTTAGAGGTACACCACAGAGAAGTCTGCCATGGCTTAGAAGCAGGAGCTGAGGCAGGAGGGGCGAAGGATCAGGTTCAAACTGGGACTGGGACACAGCACTGTGTGGCTCAGGTCCGGACTGCATGGAGGACAGGTGAGAGAAGCCAGGAGGTGCCTGGGTCCAGGTGGGAGAGCAGGGGTCTCGAATCAGCCTGCACCAAGAGCCATAGAGGGCTGGAGTGAAAAACAGAAGGGGTCCGGCTTGGGGACTGGCAGGGATGTGGCAGAGGGGAGTGGGGTGAGAGCAGCCTGTTGGGGGGTATTGGCCCGGTGACTGAGTAGACGGCGGGGCGGCCTTGGATGTGGAAACCAGGCAAGGGGGAGAATCTGGTGGAGCCCGACCTCTGTGCAGAATGTGGTGAGCGCAGTCAGCTGCGTCTTCAGAGGCCGGTTTCCCAGAGTCTGAGAGAACGGCTACGTGCTGGGGAGCCCCAGCGCTGGTAATCCACGAGACCAGGGCCCGACACGAAGGGCGGGCTCTGGAAGACTGCGCAGGCTGCTGCGTACACTGCAGCACTGAGCCCCGGCTCCTCTGGGGCCTCCTCCTCAGGCCTCTGGCTGAAGCAGGAAGTCGTGCCCGAGGCTCCGCTCGCACTCGCTGTTGGCACAGCCCAGCCGCCCCTGCCACGCCAGGGACCTGCCCGCCTCCGGCCCAAGCGCTTTCACTTCCCCAGGTGCCAACCCCTGACTCCAGCACGTGGGAGCACCCGGTCTAGAGCAGCGTACTGTCTCCCTAAGGGGCGAGGAGAGAAGCGGACAGAGGGACAGAGGCAGGACAGAGCCAGGGAGGGGACACAGAGGGGCACAGAGACTATCGAGAGAGGCGCAGAGACCCAGAGAGGGGAAACAAAAGAAGAGGGACAGAGCTGGAGACAGAGATGGCAGAGCTTAGCAGCCATGAGGTCAGAGTGTCTGTGAGGTGGGCTGCAGTCCGGGGACAGCTCTAGGCTCCTGCTGCCCAGGGGTGGCTGTGAGTCAGTCAGGAGCCCCGTGGGTCCCGAGCCGTGGAGACCCGGGAGGACCCACCTGCCGTGGCCTTGGTGCCCCCCCATTTCAGGGCCCCTCAGGTACCGGCTGTGTCCCTGTGGTGTAGGTGAGGGAGTCGGGGACAGGCAGAGTGTCACCTCACAAGGAGGGGGACGGGGTGGGGCCCCAGCCCTGGAACTTCCTCTTTCTGTGCTCTTCCTTTCTGCCTCCCCTCCGCCTCTCTCTCTCTCCTTCCTGGCCTCTGCCACCTCGTCCATCACCCCCACTGCCGACACCCCTTCTGTCGGTCCCTCCCGCTGGTCTTTCCCCTGTGTAGGCAAAGATGTCGGCCCAGGAGAGCTGCCTCAGCCTCATCAAGTACTTCCTCTTCGTGTTCAACCTCTTCTTCTTTGTGAGTTGCCCCGTGGCTCCCCAGCCTGGGCCCCAGCCCCGGCCACAGCCCCCAGACCTCCCGCTCTGCCCCCCTAGTTGGTCACCACATTGTCATCTCCTTCCTAGGCCCTCGGCAGCCTGATTTTCTGCTTCGGCATCTGGATCCTCATCGACAAGACCAGCTTCGTGTCCTTTGTGGGTGAGGGGGGCTGGGATAGTCCGGGAGGGCCTTCCTGGGGTGCAGCTGCACCCAGCCTCTCCCTTTGCTGGGGCCTCCCTTGTCCTGGGGAGCTCCACGGAGCCCCACTTCCCGGGCAGGTCCCCGGCTCCCACAACCACTCCCCGCTGTGGCTGGGCCCTCGGAGCCCATGGTCTTCCTCCGGCAAATGGGGTTGCGCGTACCAACAACAACGGCAGGGACAGGGACAGGGACAGTTCTCCAGTACTCCCTGTGTCGGACTTGGACCGGGGCTCATCAGACTCCCCCACAAACCTTCCCCCCTCTTGAGGTTCAGAGAGGGGAAGTCCCTTGCTGGGTGTCACACAGAAAGGAAGGAGAGGAACGGAGATAATTTTGAAATAAGGAAAATAATAATGGAGTAATCATCAAAGTCCGTAACAACTCATAAGTAGTAGTTGCTCTGCACTGAGAGCTGGGTTGAACACATACTCTCATGTGTCCCTCAAAACAACCACGAGGCCAGGCACCACGGTGCAAACCTGTAATCCCTGTTACTCTGCAGCCTGAGGAGGAGGATCACTTGATTCCGGTGGCTTGAGGCCAGCTAGCCTGGGTGACACAGTGAGATTCCACTTCAGAAAACAAATTAAACCAATTAGGAAATGGATAACACTACGTCCTTAGCTTCAGAGAGGTCTAAGGACAGAGCCAATGTCACAAAACAAGTGATGGGGTTGAGGAGGGGCTGCAGGAGAAAGAGAGGGACAGCGATCCAGAGAGGGGCAAATGGGCTCAGAGACAGGATGAGAATTCCCAGGAGAGAAACAGACTCGGACTGGGGCACTGGGGCAAGGATGGAGTCCCTGGGACATCGGGAGTCCAGGCAGAGATCCCTACCCCACCCCAGGATGCTGCTTCCTACTCGGGGGCTGCCTGGGAGGGGCCTGGGGCTGCTTGGAGCTCTGCCTACCAGGCCCCACCTTCATGGCCTCCCACTCTCCCCCCAGGCTTGTCCTTCGTGCCCCTGCAGACCTGGTCCAAGATCCTGGCCATCTCAGGGGTTCTCACAATGGGCCTCGCTCTCCTGGGTTGTGTGGGAGCCCTCAAGGAGCTCCGAAGCCTCCTGGGTCTGGTGAGTGCCCCGCCCCCATCCCTACGGCCACTCCCCAGCCTCAAGAGTGGCCTGGGGAGGGGTCGGCCTGACGCCTACCCTCTGCTCCAGTATTTCGGGGTGCTGCTGCTCCTGTTTGCCACGCAGATCACCTTGGGTATCCTCATCTCCACCCAGCGGGTTCGGGTGAGCTTACTGCCGCCACCACCACTCCTGGCACCGGAGGGGTTGGGGGTGGAGGTTGAGGGAGCAGGCGCAGAGCGAGGGAAACAAGGCCGATAGGAATCAGAGAAAGACACAAGGACACAGAGAGTCCCAAAGGAAAGCTGTGAGCGGTGGCACTTACAGTCCCAGCTACTAGGGAGGCTGAGTCAGGAAGATTGCTCAGCCCAGGAGGACGAGGCTAGTCTGGACAGCAGAGAGAAAAAAGGGAATGGGGTGGAAATCCCTGAAAGCAATAGAGACCTAATGACGCCTAGAAATAGGACCGAGGTCTAAGAAAGAGATACACTAGCCGATCAAGGAGGAGTAGAAGCCAGCGTCGGGGCTGAACGCTCTGGGAGTGGTTGGAGGGCCGGGGGCAGATGGGGCGCGGCCTCACCCACCGCCTCTCAGCTGGAGCGAAGGGTGAAGGAGCTCGTGCTGAGCACCATCCAAAACTATGGCTCCAATCCGGAGGAGACAGCGGCCGAGGAGAGCTGGGACTACGCCCAGTTCCAGGTGCGTGGCCCCACGGCGCCTCCTCTTCCTCGGGACCCTGACGGGGCACTGTGCAGTTTGGGCTTCAAGGAGCCTCTCCCTCGACGTGGTCCGTTCTCCGGCTCCAGGTCCCCAGCGACCCCGCCCCCCACTCATCCCAATCCCAGACGATAACATAAGGGCCCCCGCACCCGCTCCGGGTACCCAGACGCTGGTGTGTCTCCGCGCCCAGCTTCAGGACTCCGCCTCTGCTCCCAGGCTAGACCTCAAACCCTTCACTGGTCCCCGATCCCCTACATGCTGTCGCACCACGGCGGGCCGATCCCTCACTCGCATCCCTCCCTCAGCTGCGCTGCTGCGGCTGGCACTCCCCGGAGGACTGGTTCCAGGTTCTCATCCTGAGAGGCAACGAGTCGGAGGCGGGCCGCGTGCCCTGCTCCTGCTACAACTCATCGGCGACCAACGACTCCGCAATCTTTGATAAGATCTACTCACCCCAGCGCGGCCGGCTCGGACCGCAGGCGCGGCCCAGGCACAACACAGACCTGTGCTCAGTGCCCGCAAACCGCCACATCTACCGTGAGGTAGCTGAGGGTTTGGGGCCTGAGCTTCTCCAATGGGAGACGGCCTGAAGGGCGGGGCCAAAGGAGGCGGGGCTAAGGGAAAGGGATCCGTCCAATTAAGGAGAGAGGACATCCCAAGGGGGCGGGGCCTTACGAAGGGGCGGGGTGCAGGAAATCAAGTCTGGAGAGGCAAAACCTGGAAGAGGTGAGGTGGATGCACAGAACTGAGACTAGAGAACCCCGGTAACTGGAAGAGTGGTCGGTGTGTGAAAGAGAAAGAAGAACGAGGCAGAGAAGGACGCTGGTCCAGTGCTTGAGGACGAATCCTGAAAGGAACGCCACTTTTTACTTTCCCTTGCAACTCCAGGGCTGCGCGAAGAGCCTCCGGACATGGCTGCACAACAACCTCATCTCCATAGTGGGAATTTGTCTAGGCGTCGGTCTACTCGAGGTGATTTGGCCCCGCTCCCACTCGCGATTGGTCCCAGTCGGTAGACGACCCCGCCCTCAACCCGGGAGGACGCGTGCGTGACGCAACACCCGCCCCTCTTGGCCCTGCGGCCACAGCTTTCGGGACCTGAGGGGCGGAGACCTAGTTTCTGAGCTCTGATTGGCTATACGCAGGGAGATTCGCCTGTGATTGGCCACAATAACCCTCCTCGCTTTCCTTCGCAGGTGAGTCTGATGGTTCTGAGCCTGCAGCTGCACCGCACAGCGCTCCGCCGGGATCCCGAAGCGCAAGTCCTGGGCACCGACTACCCGGGCGCCGCGCACAGCATCAGTGCTGACGGAGGGGCCGGGCG